CACTTTTTCTCCCATAGAATGCCCCTTGGAAATTTTTCATCGTTTGAGTATATTTCTTTTAAAATGGAACAAAAGCAATCTTCTACTCTTTTCATTGTCCTGTACAGGCCACCACAGTCATGTTGCGATTTTATTGACCATTTTACTGAACTACTTTCATTCGTGTACACAGATTTTGATAGTTTAGTTATTACAGGTGATTTTAATGTACATGTTGATAATGTTGATGACAGAAATGCAAAGGAGCTGGCTTCTGTATTTGAGACCTTTGGTTTCATTCAGCACGTGAGTGGCCCCACCCACAGCAGGGGGCACACTCTTGACCTGCTAATTACAAAGGGGGTTAATGTATCAAATGTTAATGTAGTTGATGTTGCTTTGTCAGATCATTTCTGTGTATTTTTTGACATGTGTTTTGCTAGCAAACCACCAGCTGAATTTACAATTGTTAGAAGAAGACACATACATGAAAACACAAGTGAACTGTTCATGGGAATGCTAAATTTTGAGAAAACTCCATGCTCTACTGTTGATGAATTGTATAACTCTGTCACCACCAGTGTTCTGACTGTTCTGGACGCCATTGCTCCTGTGACGGTTAAAATAGTTACCAGTAAGAAAAAGGCCCCATGGACTAAGGCAGACTCGGTCAGGGCACAGAAGCAAGAGTGCCGGAGGGCCGAACGGAAGTGGCGAAAGTCCAATTTCCAGGGCGATTATGAAATCTTTAAAGATGAGTTGGGTGAATTTAACCGGGTTCTACGTAGAACAAGAGAAATGTATTTTTCTGACATTATTGGAGGTTGCAGTAACAATTTTCGTGTTATGTTTTCAACAGTTGGTAGATTAACGAACCCCCCTGTAAAGTTGCCCCTAGAATTTTCCTCTAAATCTAGGTGTAATGAGTTCGCACAGTTTTTCGATGACAAAGTACAAGGAATCAAAAACACTATCACCTCCACAGCACGTATAACAATGCAACAGCCAGAGAAGCTTTTTGAGCTAACTCACTTTGCACCTGTGGATACTGAAACTGTCAAAAAGATAATCATGAGTCTGAGCTCCTCCACGTGTAGCCTGGATATATTGCCCTCTAAATTTCTGAAGTCCGTCCTGAGCAGTTTGTTACCTTCACTGACACAAATAGTAAACATGTCTCTGTCGTCAGGAACATTTCCTATGGCCCTAAAAACAGCAGTCATAAGACCTCTCCTAAAAAAGAGCAGTCTGGATCCTGCGGGACTTCAAAATTATCGCCCCATATCGAATCTGCCATTCATTGGAAAAATTCTTGAAAAAGTGGCCTCCCAACAACTTACTGAATTTTTAACAATGAATAATTCTTTTGATATGTTCCAGTCTGGGTTTAGACCCCACCACAGCACTGAGACCGCTCTAGTGAAGGTAACAAACGACATTCGACTTCACACTGATGCAGGTAAAGTCACAGTTTTGGTCATGTTAGATCTTAGTGCCGCGTTCGACACTGTCGACCATGAGATCCTCATGCAGAGACTGGAGGACTGGGTTGGTGTCACTGGCACAGCCCTAGACTGGTTTAGGTCTTACCTGGAGGATAGGAAGTACTTTGTGGAGATTGGAGACTGCGTCTCAGATCATGTGGCCCTGACCTGTGGAGTACCACAGGGGTCGATCCTGGGACCTCTCCTATTTAATCTCTACATGCTGCCGTTAGGTCAGTTAATACAAAGAAACAAAGTGTCCTACCACAATTACGCCGACGACACTCAGATCTATGTCTCACTGACTGCAGGAGAACATGGACCACTGGATTTGCTCCTTCACTGTATCCAACAGATCAGTGACTGGATGCAAAATAATTTCCTCCAGCTAAATGCAGACAAAACCGAAATCATTGTCTTTGGTCCCCAGAAACAAAGAGAGGGCGTCATTTGTCAACTTCAGTCTCTCTCCCTACTTCCTTCAGACAAGGTCAGAAATTTGGGGGTAATACTGGACTCAGACCTAAATTTCAATAGCCACATAAAATCAATAACATCAACAGCTTTTTACCATCTGAAGAACATTGCCAAAGTTAGAAATATAGTGTCCAGGGCAGACTTGGAGATTCTTGTCCATGCATTTGTCTCCAGCAGGCTAGACTACTGCAATGGCCTGCTTACAGGTCTGTCCAAACAGACCTGTAAGCAGCTGCAGTACATCCAAAATGCAGCAGCTAGAGTCCTGACAGGAACCAGGAAGTATGACCATATTAGTCCGGTCCTCAGGTCTCTGCACTGGCTTCCTGTGGCTCAAAGAATAGATTTTAAAACAGCTCTGCTTGTGTACAAGTCTCTCCATGGCCTTGCACCAGAATACATTAGTGACATGTTGGTGTCATATGAACCGGCCCGGACTCTGAGGAGCACAGGGACTGGCCTCCTGCTGGTGCCCAGAGTGAGAACCAAACATGGGGAGGCTGCGTTTCAGATCCATGCAGCTAAGATCTGGAACAATCTCACTGAAAATGTGAGGGAGGCGTCTACTCTGTCAATGTTCAAATCCAGGTTAAAGACTGTTCTGTTTGCCTGTGTATACAACTGAAGGATTTTATCTCCATTTCTAATGCACTGCTGTCATTTATTTATTTTTTTAAATTTCTTGTGTAATTTTGAAAGTTTTAATGGTTTTATTCTTTTGTGTGATTTAATGTTTTAATTGTGTTTTAATCTTTTGTGTGATTTTAATGTTTTAATTGTGATTCTGGTGTTTGTTTTATGTGATGATTTGTGATGTGGACTGTGAAGCGCTTTGTGTTGCCCTGTGTATGAAAGGCGCTCTACAAATAAACTTTGATTGATTGATTGAAAGTACTGTTAGAAATAAAAATTCTTTAAAATAATGGACACCAGTAAGGTAGGGGCCGGAAAAACTTAGGACCAGGGCCACATCTCTGATGGTTCCCATTTCATTTTTTCTAACTCCTTCTCTTCTGTTTCCCATTTCACATTTATGGCAAGCTCATATTCATTAATTACAATAATAAATAAGATTTCTCACTTCCTGCTTTGAAGGAAAATCCCACTGTGTTGCTAGGATACCATATAGCCTGGATTATACTTGTGCTTTAGTGTGCACAAGTCCCTCCCGTCGACTCCGATCTGCAGACTCACATCTCCTCCTGTAAAATCCAAGCACCGAACCTTGGGGGACCGAGCTTTCGCTATTTCTGCTCCCACTCTCTGGAACTCTCTCCCCCAATCTCAGAAACTCGGACTCACTAAACTCCATCAAAAAAAAGCTAAAAACTCACCTCTTCCTCCAAGCATACGACTCTTACTTTCAACTTTATACTCTTCCCTCCCACTCTTTGATTTTTAGTTTTGAGTGTCTGTCTAAACGTGTGTGAAATTAAACCTGGGGTACGTAAATTCCCTTTTATTAACAGCTCATGTTGATTGTGCCCAAAAGTAAAAGGTGAGCAAATCAAACAGATTTAAGTACATTTAGTCTGAATATCAACTGTAATGACAAATTGTCAATCTCATTTAACTTCAATTGAAGTGATTTGTAATATGCTAAGAATGACATGAATTGTGAGTCAACTCATCATTACTATGCGATTAATCAACAATTATTTTAATCATTTGACAGCCCTATCAAAATCTTTTCTTCACATGTAGTCCATAACATTGGAAACTTTAAATGGTTGCTCACAATGTATTTAAATAATCTAATAAAACCATGGAGTACTTTTTTTACAGTATTGTTTAGCCTATACAGAGAGCTACACATTTAACATGTAAACTCGCCTGCCTAACCATTGCTTGTCCCTCTGTTTGAGCTGTTTTACTTTAATTTCAGTGTCAATACTTTTTGGATCCTTTACACATTATTATACCCGGCATAGGCCATCTTACCATACCATATTTAATGTATCCTCTTGATGCAGATAGAAGAACTGTGGAAGTAATCAAAGCCTGTACTACCTGGTGGGGAGTATGTTTGAAGGAGAATTCCATTAAAGTAACAAACATTATCCTAAAATTGTGTTTTGAGGTGTATGGTGAGGACAGACACCAGTGTGGGACCACTCCATACACCCACAGGACCAAGGCCACATCTCAGAGAGGATTCCTCTTCTCTCCCCGCCTTTAAAATCACTTCATCTGTTTGGGACATCCCGACTTCTACATATATGCATGGATGGCCCTTTACAGCTATAAATAGTTTACTGGGTTATTATGAAGTTTGACCAGATTTCATACTTTCAAAGCATTGAAAGTATGAAATCTGGTCAATATTTCTCACTTTTATTGTGACATACAAATACAGTGCCTTGCGAAAATATTCGGCCCCCTTGAACCTTTCAACATTTCGCCATATTTCAGGCTTCAAACATAAAGATATAAAATTTTAATTTTTTGTCATGAATCAACAACAAGTGGGACACAATCGTGAAGTGGAATGAAATTTGTTGGATAATTTAAACTTTTTTAACAAATAAAAAACTGAAAAGTGGGGCGTGCAATATTATTTGGCCCCTTTACTTTCATTGCAGCAAACTCACTCCAGAAGTACAGTGAGGATCTTTGAATCATCCAATGTTGTCCTAAATGACTGATGATGATAAATAGAATGCACCTGTGTGTAATCAAGTGTCCGTATAAATGCACCTGCTCTTTGATAGTCTCAGGGTTCTGTTTAAAGCGCAGAGAGAACCATGAAGACAAAGGAACATACCAGGCAGGTCTGAGATACTGTTGTGGAGAAGTTTAAAGCCGGATTTGGATACAAAAAGATTTCCCAAGCTTTAAACATCTCAAGGAGCACTGTGCAAGCAATTATATTGAAATGGAAGGAGTATCAGACCACTGCAAATCTACCAAGACCCGGCCGTCCCTCCAAACTTTCATCTCAAACAAGGAGAAGACTGATCAGAGATGTAGCCAAGAGGCCCATGATCACTCTGGATGAACTGCAGATTTCTTTTAGAGTAAAAGAAAAACATTTCTGATGCTTTTGCCCAATACTGGAAATCACAGGTCCTGGTGCCCTGGGGAAGAAACAAAACAAAAGAGATAGTTAGTAAACATTATTCAACTGTAATATGTAATTCTATTAGAGATGGTGATCTGCTCTTTGTTTGCCTTCTCTCCCTTGACTTGTCCAGTATGGACGAACCAACCACAGGTTCAGACACTCACTGGTATAGCTCAGGGATTCTGAAAGCGTAAGCCCATTCACCAACGACAAGGTGGCAGATCATGAATGGGACTAAACCACCCACTAAGCAAACACTACAACTAAGCCAAACTTGTTCCACTTACCTGAAATACTATACCATAACTACAATACCATCTAAACTACTAAAACACTATATCTAAACTAACCCTGTTACTACAAAGCACTAAGGAATAAACTAATCCTACACTAGAACTAAACTACACATGAACAAATCAAAACCTAAAATGTAATTTAAACTAAAGCTATATCTAATGTAGTAACAAACTATACCCATATGTTGCACTAAACTAAACCTAAACTAGAACTAAACTAAGAGAAAGCCTGTAAAATGAAATGAAGTCAAAATATACAGTAGTCTGAGGGAAAGGGTGGGGGTCGTCAGAGGGAGAGAACATAGTCAGGAGACAGTCTTACCAGTCCTTTCAAATGTGACAAACACAACACATGAAATCAGAGGTCCAGCCTCAACAAGCACATGTAATAAAAAGTATAATAAAAGGCTAAAAACAACCATGATTACAAATTTAACTTAACTTTAAAATCAGGCAAATCCAGGCCTAGCAACAACAACCAGTAAAAAAGTGAATTGATGATTCTAAAACATCAAAAGACACATGATTACAAATATAAATTAACTTTAAAATCAGGCAAATCCAGGCCTAGCAACAACAACCAGTACAAAAGTGAATTTAATATTCTAAAAAGATCAAAAGACACATGATTACAAATATAATTTAACAATAAAATCAGGCAAATCCAGGCCTAGCAACAACAACAACCAGTAAAAAAGTACTATAAAAGTACTATAAAAGACCCAACAACCACGTGGAAAGTTGAGCAAGTATGCTTGTGTACAAAAAAGACATGATTATTAATACAATTCCCATTCAGAGCGATGTTATGATTAAATAAGAAACTGTTCATTTCGATACAAATCTAACTACACTGCTTTAATGTAAACACACTGTTCCTACGGCTTTATTCTAAACGAACACACTATCCCTTCATGGTCGCTGAAGTATGTTGGCACCACAGTGGACTCTAGATCATATTCAGTGGATTTCAGGTACAAGTGATCAATTAAAGTCCCTCTCTCTGTAGTGGGAGATTTGACATATTGAACATAACCTCTTTCCGTCATGAAATTGCAGAGACTTGATGACTTCAATATGTCATCATTAAAATCTCCCATCACTGCCACAGTGGCACTAAACGAGTCGAGCCAGATTAGCAACCGATTCAAGTTATACTTGAACAGAGACATGGGGTATGACGGTGGTCGATAGACAACTGCAACAGTAATTTTGAGCTCTGCAAAATGACTAACCAGATATTCTAAACTGAAATCACGTTCTGTGATCTCATAGTTACAGCTGTCTTTACAGTACAGGCCAACACCACCGTGTTGTTGAGCGCTCAAACTAACTAATGCAGGGTGGTTACTGCCCTGGTACGATACACTACGGGGACGGCTGTTGAAGCTGTAACCATCAATGTGACTGGTTTGAAAGGCAGAATTTACATTTAACCATGTCTCTACCACAGCAATGCAGTTAGGCTGCCAGGGCTGTGTGCACATGACCAAGTCTGACACATGTGAAGCTAACCCATGAACGTTCATGTAAAAGAACGTCAGGACATGTGTCTCCTCTATGGGCCAGGGCACACTTTGGACCATGAAGGGAGGCATGCACTCAATCGCATATCGGATGTTATCATTACAATAAATGGCCTTTTCAGTAAAGTCTTGAATGACAAGACCCTCTAAGCTCCTAACGCGACTTAAGGCCACGTAGGCCTGGCCCGCAGTAAACACTTGTTTCAGGGACACCACTGCTCGATCGACTGTTACGCCTTGTACCTTATGAACTGTACAGGCCCACGCAAGTTTAAGGGGGAACTGTCGCCGCTTCTCGCCTCGTTTGTTGGCTTGCTCTTCTTCTGGCTCTATGCGGGTAGAACCTGTCAGGTCTGCAGGGGTACGCGTCTGCCTCCTCCTCTGCGCGCCTACTTTGTCGTTGTCAAATTTAACATAAATTGCTAAAGGAGGCAGTCGTCTCTGTGGATTCTCTACAATATATGTCACTATACCGCATACCCCATTTACTAGACCGTCTGCTATATCTATGTTTTTACAGAGCATTACACGCGCATTTACTCCCACGATTAACGTCTCCTCCAAATTGGCTAGTTTGGAGTTATGGAGATTACTTTCCAATTCAGTCAATTTCCCCGTCTTTTTATCGTACCCAAAGTCTCGAGCCGCAATGCAAATTGTATCCTGACACACCCTAGTGAGAGTTTTAATGTTGTACTCGTTAACAAATTTGTTCTTGGTGAAAATGTGTAAGACGTCGGGGTCTTCGCCTGTTTCGCACCGTTTTAACACATTTATGTCACTCTCGAGCAGTGGTGTCAGCCTGGAGCGCATTCTAAGCCTGTTCAATAGTTTGGAAAAAGCAGGTTCCTTCTGTCGGACTATTGTTTTTAACTCTGCGATTTTGAATAGGTCGGTGAAGAAATTAACACCTATGCTCTCCTTGTACAGCGCGTGACCTTTGACTGGGGACAATTGAAAGAAGTCCCCAACGACTATAATTGAAACTTTCCCAAATGGAGAGTCACCTGTCTGTTTGATTTGTCGCAAACGACCATGAATGTAGGTAAACAACTTCTGGTCAACCATAGATATCTCATCTATTATCACAAATTGTACATCTATGTACTTAGCGCGCAGTGTGTTAAGCTTTTCTTCTCCCAGAGGCATGTAAGGGAGAGAAACATTGGTCCCAATGCTAAACGTAGTGTGGATGGTAGACGCTTCTAAATTATACGCTGCGATTCCAGTCGGAGCTGTTAATAAAACAGAAACATTATCCGGACTGTGACAAATGGGAGCCAATAATCGAGATAACTCGTACTGAAGCGCTCTAATCAGGTGACTTTTCCCGGTCCCTGCTCCGCCTGTAACAAACAGGTGGATGGGCTCTGGGTTGTTACCGGCTAGCTTATCTAAACACCATTGTCGTGCTTTGTAGAAAATTGACAGTTGTTGCGCATTTAAAGTTTTGATGAGCAAAAGGCCCTCCTGACGACTCATAACGTTAGATTTCTCGATGTTACCGATTTGCTCATTCCTTACAGCCAAGTCTGGAATGGGGTCTTGCTCATGCTCAGAGCCCATCGCCTCTAACATCTCCCTGTACTCCTCCCTCGTCTCCAGCCTCTCCGCCTCCTGCTCCGGGCAGAGCAAGCCCCATGCATCCTCCAAGATGTCATCGTCCAGTTGATCTTGGACTTCCTCCAAGTTCTCAGCTGTAAGTTCAAAGCAACGCCTATTTGAATCCACAATTGACTTTACTAAATGTAACGCCCCGTCGCTTAAGGTTACTTCCCCATTTTTATAGAACTGTTCAAACGATTCGTGTGGAAGCGGCTTAAGGTCGTCATCAACACGATACGGCAGGAATAACTGCAGCAGACTCTGATGAAACAACTCTGTGTCTTTAGTTTCAGAAAAGCGCGCATACCGCACTACAGCGGGCTTTGTACGCGTCCTTTTTGTGATGGCGCCTAGACCCTTTTGTAACATTATCGGTTTTTTGCACTTGTCAGATTTATACAGTAATCTGTATTCGGAGACGAATGTCGCGATGCACATGTCGTTAAATGTGTCATCATTTGGCCTACTTAAGTAGCGCTCGATCGTATTAGTCATCCAAATACTCTCGCCCATTTCATCATCAATTTCACCTATCGGTCTGCTCATTCGCACTATATTGTTGCCGGTTGGGATAAATGTAACTTGACGCGAGAATTCCTTAAGATGCATCCCTGTCACGCGGTAAACAGCTTCCTGCGCAGAGACTTCGCGATTGTGCAGATACACGCTGCCTAACTTTTTAAAAGCCTCTTTTGCACTTACATTTCCTTTGGAAGCTTCTTTTTGAGCATTACCAAGGAGCAGACCCATATCCCTCTCTTTCTTCGTAATATAGGAGATTATATAAACTACACAAGCCCACGCATTTTCAACAAACTGAATGTCCATATTGGCATTCCAGCAGCTAAGTAATTTCTTGTTGTAGTTGTTAATCCAGATGTCGCTCACCTCCCTCTTTAAAACGATCCGTCTGTTCCCACCTAAAACGCTGTAAATTTGTTCAAACGTGAACTGTGTTAACCCCAAACAGTCTAACAATTCTGCAGTGCTAAGACCCAGGTTGTTTTCATCAAGAGTGGCATTCTTAAGCGCGGCCATGATTAACTTCGCTTCCTCCTTAGTCACAATAGGAGGCGTTTCTGGATCGAATTCTTGTTTAACGAACGTGCGCATCGAAACTGGGCGAGGAAAGTTGAACCGACACTGTATTTTGCCTTTTTGGCATGTTTTGGCGTGACGTTTAGAATGCTGCTGCACTGAGGTAACTTTTTCTAACAACTCTGGATCTGAGGGGATTTCACACGAAATATATTTGTCAACAAACTGGACAACCTCCTCGTCAGTATTTACTCCAAGCCTCGGTCCACCGTCTAGAAAGATGAGCATGTGGCAATGGGGACTTCCGCGCTGTTGGAATTCTATACGATAAAAGTAATCTTTAACTTTACCGATGGGCTGCGCTGGTGACATAATCACTTTTTGTAAAAAACAGCGCCAACGAGACTCAAACATGCGAGCCGCTGTGACAGGATTACGACGCAAAAGGTCACATCTCTCAGCCCAATCTAAGTCTTCTGGCTTTCGAGTGCTACCTTCCTGTTTTAAGAGAGTTTTTAGGAGGCTTTTCCATCGCAGATCTGCAGCACTAAAAGAACAAAACCACGTGGGAAGGCCTAACTGACGAATCATGGCAAAAAGATCTTTTTGACAGTTTTGCCAGAACGCAGGGGTGCCTCTTATAGGCGCCAGAAAGCGATAACCGCTATCGTACTGCAACATATCCTGTAGCGTTTCCCCACCTGCAGACGCATTACTAGGATAGGAAATTCCCTTTCTCAAAGCTATTTGCACTTTAGAAACAACTTGCTCAAGTTCCAACATGTACAACGCCATAAAGAGAAACTTTAAGTTCCGCGCAAATCTACCATCAACATGCATAAGTCTATTGATGAAATACCGACACATGGTTAACCTGACAAGTCTCGGAGTATGGAACGTGTTACGTCCAAACGGGAACTCCTTGGGAAAGCACTTTGCTTCATTTTCTTTATCTGACAACAAGCTAACTGGACTATTTCCCTCAGCTGGAGCTAAATTCACCACACCCTTAAAGAAATGGTCTAGAGCTTCCTGTCCGAGATCTACAGGCAATAACACTGTGTCATGGAATATGCAATGACCCTGTCTATCATGCAAATGCTCGTCATCTAAATCTGCTGGTTCTACCTCCTGCTCTGCGGCTACAACTTCCACATTCAAATCCACTTCCATGTCTGTGGGGACTACTTTTCTGGCAAACTCATTATCCCACAATGTATTAAAATCCATTTCTGCATAATGGGGATTATATTGTTTAAGAAATGCAATGGCCTGCCGTATAAGCTCTGTGTCTACAAACTGATACTCATAATGTCCCTTATATGACAAACTGCGCTTGATTTTCACTGCCAACAAACAACCATCCATGTTACTACGTGGCAACAACTTAACAGACTCCTGAACTCTGGAAGGCACACATGTCACAGGCCCATGGATCCCTCGCTGACCACCTTTGGGCAATGCTAAGACTTGCATGAAGTTAATGTTAGGTGCAACTAAATGTGCTTCTACTGTGTTCAGACATGCAAGTTCAGGTGGAATGTCATCCAAGTCCAACTCATTCCTCCAGCATTCAGATGGCATTTCACCCTTTCTGAGCTTTGAGTTGCATGTGTAGCAGATCCATAAACTACCTCTACAATCTAATAACGAGCACGGTGTGGGACACTCACTATTGCACACATGTAAATAGGCCTCAGAGATACAGTCATTAGCGATTTTAACGCAATTAGGGTTAGCCATAAAGTCTGCCTTTCTACAAGGTAAGACCTGGCGTCTAAATAAGAGTTTAAAGCACACGCAGCAAACGTACTCTGGGCCGGATTCGACATCTTTCAAAAACTGTTCCTTTACAACAGCGAAGTCTTGGAGATTTTTTGTAGGTTGTTTACGTTTCTTTCTAAATTCTACACTAGTTTTCAATGGATTTTTTTTATTGTTACATTTTTTTACTTTTAATTTGGTTTTAGACGATGCATTTTTTTTACTTCTCTTCCTGGAAGCTGCCTTTTTTCCTTCTCGATAATCCTCTCTCTCTCTATATTTTGTTTTACCTCTTGTATTAACGTCTTCTTTATGTTTCTGTTTAAAGCCCTCATCGTGTCTATACTTGTGTTTGTTTCTTTGATTAACTTCTTCTCGATGCTTCTGATTAAAATCCTCATCTTCTCTATATCTTGTATTTACTTCATCTTTATGCTTCTGTTTGAAAACCTCATCGTGTTCATAATTGTGTTGGTTTCTTTGACTAACATCTTTGATATGTTTCTGTTTAAAACCCTCATCGTGTCTATACATGTGTTTGTTTCTTTGACTAACATCTTTGATATGTTTCTGTTTAAAACCCTCATCGTGTCTATACATGTGTTTGTTTCTTTGACTAACATCTTTGATGTGTTTCTCTTTAAAGTCCACATCATGATGATATCTGTGTTTACTACTGTCCCTAGCTGCTTTCCTGACTTTCTTTTGATATACTATATTACTCTTGTATCGTTTTAAATTCTTTTCTATAATTTCTTGTCGTTTTTCTTTGTATTCTATTTTACGCGTGCCCTTAATTACGTCGCAATTTTGAGTGTAATTGTTCTTCAAGTGTTTTAGTTTTTTCTTTTGCAAATGCTTTGACAACGCACGTTTAACGCTAGTTTCTATGTCTCTATTAGACTCTAGTGGCTGGAGAGCTGCCTTTTTTGGTCTAATGTTATAGGATCCCATTGATTTTTCGATGATTTGGCAGCACTCGTAACAACTATCTTTGTTGGGTATTTTAACGCAAATTACATTTTCAAAATGGGAGTTATTAATGTTTTCTAGATAAATGCCATTGTTTGACAAAGGCCTAGTTGTACAACTATATTTCAGCCAATGTCCGTCATGAAATGTAAATATGTCGACGCCTAGATAATCCGCACCCACTTGAATTTCTACCTCTGTCGCCCATTTGTTCGCAGTATGAATCTTTGTAGTATTGAGGTATTGATCAACTGATGAGAAGCCTACGCGCAACAGGGATTTGTATTTTTCAGGGTTATTACGAAGATGTTTGGCAATCGCTCGTCTAATTTTGAGGTGGTATTTTTGGGTGCCACTAATGGCCTGTGAAAGCGCGCGAAAGAAACAGTTACCGTCTGCAGCTATTTTGTCATTTTTACATGGCGCCCCTAATGGGCCTCTGGTTTTTGGATCTACTACACAATGCTTCTCAAACTCACCAGCAAACCGTCCACACAAGCCCTTACACTGACTGTCACTAAGTGGATTAAAGAACATTACACTCTGCTCTACACCAGTGCACAACACATCTGAGTCTACATCTGGGAATGGATTCACTTCTGTCTCTAAGTCAATCACTGGAACATCTTCTGCAGCTTCAATGTGCTTTAAATCCCCCTGACTCTCATCTAAAACAACTGTCTCACCAGTAACACACTGTTCCTTACAACCAGCATCAGCCTCCAAGCTAATCACAGCAGTTGGGGATACAGAAGGAACTTCTGCAGACTCTGTGTGATTTAAACCCTCATTATCGTTAAAACTCACGCCTATAATCTCAAACGGTCTTTTACCATAATATGGACCAAATCTGCAAAAATGTGCATATAGCTCATCCAAACTACTCAAATACAATACTACACTTTTACCATCAGGATGCGGCAACCCACTAGAGCTACGCGCGTGCGAGTCCACCACAGCATAAAGACCGCCCTCTTTAATGATTGCAACTGTATATTCACCGAGCGTAAAAAGACACGTGTGATACTCCGCAAACATCCGTTCAAAAGCACAATCTAAGGTCACACTGAGACCCAGCTCTATGTGTTCACCGGACACAACATTGATATCCCCGTTTAACGACTCGCTGTAATCAAACATGAACCGCTTCCCTTCTATAACCGATTCTGTGGGCAGATCACGAAAAGCCAGCATGGTGTAACCCTCACGCACCGCAAGATACCTACGCTCATTGTACAACCTATCACCAAGTGTCAAAACCCTATCCAAATCCCTCTGCTTCCACGCTAACACACTGGAAACATTGTGCTGGGCTAATGCCACCAGAGCTATACCCATACACTGCACGCCTGCATATTCAAACCTACTGTCACTCTGATTAAAACTTCCCATAACAACTGAAGGCACTGGTAGAGACTGTGTAGTGGACTTAGCTTGGATCCCAGGAGCAGAAGCACCCTCCTCTTGGACAGCTGGTGGAATGCTGCTGGTGGAAGGCAGAGGAGGCTGACTGGGTCCAGCTGAAGGGTCGATGGTCAGACGGTCCACAAGGGGAGGGTTGGTCACAAGTCCGTGGTCCATGGTCCGAGGGGCGATGGCAGGAGGGCTGGGCACAGGTGGACAGTCCAAAGTCGGAGGACCAGTCGTCACCAGTGGAGGGCTGGACTCTTTTTGAGCCTACAAAACAATCATCATTATTGTGACAAATTCATTATTATCCAAGTAATATGTTTTGTATATTACTGAATAGAATTTATGTCTAACACAGGATTACAGAAGAGTGAATGTAAAAGAGTGCCCTCTAAAAGTGTATTATGAAAGAGCAGATTCAGTTTGGAGTCTATGAATCATTTTACAGCACAAAGATCATGATTTTAAAAGAAATAATGATTACAAAAATTATAGAATGCAATGGTATTTCAAAATAGAGCTGTAATAACTATATCAGAATCATTTTTATTGCCACATAAGTAACAGGAAGTCACAGGCTTGTAAATTGCTTTGGCTCAGTGCAACAGTCAAAGAGAGAGGTAAAGAATAGAGAAGAGTGTAAGGTATAATAGGAATAATAAAATTAGCATATACTTTTACGGTATAAAATGTAAAATAGAGTTATTACAATTACAGTACAATATGCAATATATATAGTTATAATGTGTAATAATATAGTTGTAATATATAGACATTTTCAATTGTTATAAAACTATTTTGCACATAATATGCTTCCATGTTTACATATTTATTTCACACAATTGGAGTAAAAACTAGTGAACCTACCAGGTCCAGCAGGTCCTGATCATCCT